ACTAATCAATTGTCTCCATGAACAACTGCCTCCTTTGCCATGAGACCAGAAGAACCAAATGGTGCCCGGGTACCTTTACCGAGTGTTTTGATCAAAAAATAGATATTTTAAATGTAGAAGCGAAATAAAATGGGAGAAAGGACTCTGCCCACCTTGTCTTTAACGGACAAGAAAGTGATGCCAGGACTTCTGTCTCCATCTACTCTGACCTCTCTACTGCTGACCCCGCCCACTGCTGACCTTGCCCACTGCTGACCCCGCCCACTGCTGACCTTGCCCACTGCTGACCCCGCCCACCGCTGACCCCTACACCTGGGGACAGGGATGGAGAGAGACGTGCAGAGGGTCGCCCTGCTGTGCTCTGTTCTCAGAAAAGCCCAGCCAGCCCTGGAGGCCTCTGGACTTTCATTGAGCCCCAGGGTGGGCGGGGGTGGGTGGTCCTGCCGGAGCACATACTGAGGGAACAGCTGGTCCTGGTGGTTCTCAGGTCCCCTTGGGTAGTTGGAGAGAAGTAAGCAAGAACACTGTATTGTCGAGTCCTCGAGGGGAAGAGCAAGTTGGAGAGCCTCTGTCCTCCACAGGCTTGTCTCGTGTGACCCAGAGGGAGCTGTGCCGTCCCAGTGGCTGTGTGGGAGTGGAAGGGGGGGTGCCTGGCCCACACCTTTAATGGACATCTTCTCCCTTGCAGGGCCCCAGCCCGGAGCTGAATACAAGGCGGGAAAGATGACGCTGAACCCGGAGCCGGCTGGTAGGTTCCCTGGGCTGGCTCCGACAGGGAGCATTGCGCCTGAGCTGCCCAGCGGCCCCAACGTGTCCCTCAACAGCTCGTGGGCAAGCCCCACGGAGCCGAGTTCCCTGGAGGACCTGGTGGCCACGGGCACCCTCGGGGTGGTGCTCTCGGCCATGGGCGTGGTGGGTGTGGCGGGCAATGTGTACACGCTGGTGGTCATGTGCCGCTGCCTGCGTGCCTCGGCCCCCCTGTACGTCTACATCGTCAACCTGGCGCTGGCTGACCTGCTCTACCTGCTCGGCATCCCCTTCATCGTGGGCACCTACATCACCAAGGACTGGCACTTCGGCGATGTGGGCTGCCGCGTCCTCTTCAGCCTGGACTTCCTGACCATGCACGCCAGCATCTTCACGCTCACCGTCATGAGCAGCGAGCGCTACGCGGCAGTGCTGAGGCCGCTGGACACGGTGCAGCGCTCCAAGGGTTACCGCAAGGTCCTGGTGCTGGGCACCTGGCTGCTGGCACTGCTGCTGACGCTGCCCATGATGCTGGCCATCCGGCTGGTGCACCGGGGCCCCAAGAGCCTCTGCCTGCCCACCTGGGGCCCCCGCGCCCACCGCGCCTACCTGACTCTGCTCTTCGCCACCAGCATCGTGGGCCCGGGCCTGCTCATTGGGCTGCTCTACGCCCGCCTGGCCCGCGCCTACTGGCGGTCCCAGAAGGCTTCCTTTGGGCAGACGGGACGGCTGCCCAGCCCTCGCGTGCTCTACCTCATCCTCAGCATCGTCCTGCTTTTCTGGACCTGCTTCCTGCCCTTCTGGCTGTGGCAGCTGCTCGGCCAGTACTGCCCAGCCCTGCGGCTCAGCCCCGGGACCATGCGCCTCGTCAACTACCTGACCACCTGCCTCACCTATGCCAACAGCTGCCTCAACCCCTTTCTCTACACGCTGCTCACCAAGAACTACCGTGAGCACCTGCACGCTCACCAGTGCTCGGGCGGCAGCGGGTCGGCGGGTGCCTTCCCGCGACCACACCACGGCCGCTTCCAGCGCCCCTCGGGCCGCTCGCTGTCCACCAGCAGCCAGCAGGCCACTGAGATCAT